AAATTGCTGAATTTCACCTGTTCGTCATCTTCAATCATCATCTGATCAGTGTCACCAGTAATAGTTGCTGGACGAAACCCTTTCAAATCTCCGATAATACGCTGAGTTGTCTGTTGCACTTTGGCTTCTTGCCCTCAAATAAAACCAACATTTAGTTCCTGTTTCTTCAGTAAATGATTTGAATTGGCTTAATTGAAGTGTTGCTCAAATAGAAATAGTTTTGAGCAAAAGAAAAATTCCCCTACCATTCACAGTTTCCGTTCTTTTGGACACTTGATTGCACTCAATTTTCAGCTTTCGCCGACATTTTTTTGTTATTTCTTCTGTCTTGTCAGCAGATAATATATGATACTCACTGACCTGTACCAAGCATCCATCTTCTTCATCTACTTCTTCGTACTAGAAAAAAAAAATCCAACTAACTTTTGAAGTAAAAAAACAACATAAACAACCCGATAAAGAAGAAACAGACAAAAGTATTCAGATAGCAACAGTGAAATTTACCTGTTTTACATCAATTAACTCCCCTCCTTGCAGGTCAACTTCTACTGGAGGAAAATTGCCAAAATGAGAAATTAGATTTTTGTCCGGTGTCATCATCACTTTTGCAATTTGCTGCGGCTGCAAAGCTCCCATTGTCGAGCTCAAGGCTTCTTTCCCAACTGAATAGATTTGGAAAGAATTAATATTGATAATTGAATCATAATTTATGGCAGAGAATTACTTTAAATATCATGCGCATTGTTCCAATCAAGCAACAGTATTCAAAATAAAAAAAAATTCATTGTTCGCTGCTTAAGATTTAACAGTAACCAAAAATTCACTAAATAGTGCTCCTGTGACAACAACTATTCCACCATTACCTCTGCTACTGTTACCACTACCATCACCAGCAACAAAAAAAACATGTTTAAAATTTTTTTTTCAGAGATAAAAAAGTCATCTAATTCAAAAAACAAAAAACCAAGAATTTTTTAATATCAATTTAAACCATGATTTTTTAACAAATGTATGACGGCTAACCAAACTTTACTGAGTAATGTCTATAATATCGGGCAGAAATAAAATCAAAGTTTGGTATGTAAAATCTATGAGCACAATTACGCTTCGTTGTTCAGCAAAACTAGAGACATTCAAATAAAAATTGGTAAATTAGCCTTGCTTCTGAAGCAACAAGCTATCAGGAATGTCCTCCAGCATCGCCTCTAGATCTCTTACAGGGAGTCCCGGACCACAGTGGCAATATATTTCTTTAGTCAGAGGTCGCGCCTGTCACTATCCTCTTCAAAATTATTCGTCAAAAAAAATTTGTAAAAATTACTCTAGCTTAAATCATAGATCAAATTTCAAACTACGTTGTCAATAATACCTAATTTTGTAATTTCCAGTTTGAGCAAAATGACAGAAACCCAAATACCAATTTTTTTACTGTGGCCTCCAGTAGAAAGACTCGGTAATTTCAGCAGTTAAATTAGTAAACACAAGTCTTCTCCCTCTTTTTCTTTTGTTTATTTATCACACCTTACTCACCTTCTGGAGAACTTATGTATTACTTCATTGCTACTTTTTAAAGCCCCAATTCTAGTCCATGTTGTTGTGAACAGTTTTTTCTTTACGAAAAATCAATTTTGGTGCTGGTGTTGATCAGCAGAAAGTTTTTTTTGCACAAAACTAAGCATACAGATAAAATGTTACATAAATTTTGCTTAAATGCTGTTGAAATTTAAACATGTAAGTAAAGTGAAGACAAAAACTCATGAAGCAAAAAACGGTTAAAAAAGCGAGCAACAGACAAAGGACTTCAAAAAGAGTGGCATAAACTGCAATAGTTTTTTGCGACCTGCAATTATCGTTGTCGTACTGAACCACAACCTTTAAATAATAATGTCATTCCTCAAAAAAAAACGTGCATCTAAGGTTTAATTTTTATGATACAGGTTTACATTGGCACTATAACTAGGGTAAGCATAAAGCGGCAGCGGAAAAGACAAATTTTAAGCTTATCAAGCAGTAAAAACAACCAAGATGGGGAATCAGAAGACAAAAAAGATAAGGCTAAATGATTTTTTTTATTGCTTCAGAATCGTATAAAAACTTATCTCTTAATAAGTTTGTAGTAAAATTACAGAAAAGATAGGATAGCAAAAACAAATTTTAGATATCCGTATAAAATATTGTCCTCTGTATTCCCCTTCCTCCCGTGTTACCCCCAATCGTATTTTCCCGTACCTTTTGACAAACCCCAAGGGCCCTGAATTATTCAAACTCTTTTCTCTTACGCCCATTGGGAGCCGGCGAAAAAAAAAAACACTAGCGTGAATGACAACCCTACAAATTATATATACAGTGTAAAAGTGGAGCAATCAATTTGAATTTTTTCAACAACATACACAAACCCTTGGCTAATACTATCCATTTCCACTAAATTCTTTCATAATTTAATAATTTTAAAAAAATGAATCAAATGTCTTTTTGTTTAATTACTGATATTGACATTCTCGTGCATGTCCTTCTTTAACATTCTTCTCATTACTGTCCCAAAATAAAAACAGTATTTTAAACGAAGTGGTTGTTTTGTTTTTGTGCTTTTTAAACAGTAAATTCTTTGAAAGACCCAAAAAGATTTACACACACATGCTATAACTTCTTCAAGTCCAGATCATTAAGTACAATAAGTAAAGTTAAAGAGTGTTTGGTATAAGATGGAAAACAGCAGTCAATAAAAATATAGAAACGATTAAGCATCAAAGCAGCAGTAAACTGACAGAATTAAAATCAAAGAAAAAAGAGGCAATTAATCATAGTTGTAAATAAAAGAAAAAAAAAAGAAAAGAACTGAAATGTTGTAATAAATCAGTCTTTTTTTAACAGCTCAAAACTGTTATTCCTACTCTCTAACCTTCCTCAAAAAAAAATCAGTGTTTTAATCTTAGTGATAATACTGATGACTCACATAGATGCTTCCCACGATGTCACAACATTCTTCCGCTGATGACGACGATGATGATGACACATCAATGCAAACAAAGAAAAATAAAAAAACTTCAAGTTCAATAGTTTGAGTTTCAGAATGGCTTCAAAAAATTTCTAGCAAAAACCAATAAACAGTTCCTGCAAAAATCTACAACAGTTCATCAACTCGCATCCTTTCCCTCTTTTTCTGCTTCACATTTGTTTGCTTACAGATGTTGGATATTTTAATCCCACTTTTTTAGTCATAGTGTTACAAATTTTTGACTGCAGTAAAATTCGTGACATAAAAGGACGCGTTGAAACCGCTTAGTGCTGTCCAAAAAACTGCGTTATATAAGCAGAAGATTTGGTCAGCGCTTCAAGTGAACAGAAGAGGAAGGGAACGACAGTTACAGCAACATCGACAACAATCTTTTGATGTACAAAAACCTAAAACCACTAGATACTCGTCGGCAAATATTTATGCCATCATTCTGGTTCATCGACAGCTTAACCGTTTAATGGGTTTAAGATTAACAACATTTTAAAAATCCATTACTAATCTGGAGAAAAAATAATAATAACACAATAATTTTTTTTGTTTATTCAAAACAATTGAAAATTTACAAATGGAATACAGACAACAATTGCAGAACTAAGGCTTTGAATTCTCAGCATTATTTTGGGGATCAAACTATTTTAGGAGATATTAGTTTTTATCACTAAATTTAGTCATACATCCTAAATTCTGCTGTCATTGTTTTATGAAAACACCAGCAACTACAGATGAGATAACGAAAAAAAAAAAAAATGAACCTGGTGAACAGCGCGTATCAGATGGGGAAAAAAGTTTCAGCAAATTCAGCATCAACCAACTAAACAATACGCTGTTTGTCTGATCTAATTTCCTCATCTCACCTATGTATTTACGTATATATACCCACATAAGCACCACTGTAAAGCATCAGGTTAATGAAATTAGAGCAATAAAATATTGAGGAAAATAGTGAAGACAAAATAGCATAGATTTTACAGTAAAATGTAGTTTTTAACAGTCAAAATTTTTTTAGTCGTTCAAATAAAACTCGCTAATTTTACTTCCTGTTCTTCTGCTTTTTTTTTTCCTTCCTCCCAAATTCAGCACAAACAAAAAAGAAATACATGACAGAAAATAGAAACTGATGAATAATCAATAAAAAAAATGTAAAAACAGATGCAGTTCTCCAAAAGGCTGGCCTGCAACAAGGATCTCGAAACAATTTCAGAACAACAGTATTTCGTAACCAAAATAAGAAAGGAAGTTTCTCTACTCAGTTGCTTCTAACTCAGATTATCGGATGAGTTTATTCTTTTATGCTGCCTTTGTTCCCCTGTCCCTTCGATGTCCTCCTAATTCACTATAACCAATCTTCAGTCTGCAAACCTTTGACGACATAGAAATAGCAGTTTCAACAAAGTGTTATGAAAAATTTTTTGGCATAAGAGGAATGAAAATTATCAAGTAAAAATTATTCTCCTTATTCTCCAGTTACCTAATTACATAGATGCGTGGGATGAAATTATTGGGATTGGAAGGAGCAAAGAAGAAGAGGAAAACGTGGAGGAAGATGAAGAAGCAAGAGAAGAAAAAACACCAGAAGAGACTAAAGGAAGATAGACTATGATGTTAGAATGACCGTTCGTTATCAGCTGTTATTATTACTGCCGTTATTACTGATATTATTATTGTTATTATTTTTATTATTGTTATTACTATTACTATTACTATGACTATTATTGTTATTATTATCAATATTAATAATGGCACTAATATTAATATTAGTATTATCGTCACTATCGTTATTATGTTTAACAATGGATGCAATAAAGTGCTAAAAAACATATGCACATTTTTATGCTTTATTAGTATTCAAGTAAATTTTTGATCCATCTTCGTGCAATCACTTTCATCAGTAACACTAACAACCACCAAAAAACCTTACAAGTATTGTTGTTATTATTATTATTTGCTGCCGCTGCCGCTGCTGCCGCCGCCGCCGTT